GGGCGAGGCATCTGTTGTGAGAAGCCAAGGCTTGCTCTAGGGGTAAAGAGGTCTAAGACCAGAGGCCTACCTCAAGGCAGGAACAGGAAAGGGAAGGAGCAACAGAGGAAAACCTCCCAGGGCCTTTTCCCATTCCCTTGTGTTGCTTTTCCCTCAGTTCAGAGGCAGGGACACAGGCATTTCCAAATGGCTCCAGAACAAACAAAGCAGCCAGAATTCCTAAGTGGAAGCTCAATGAGCACAAGTCCCCCATTCAAGTTCATTCCTTTCCTACAGCTCAGAAGATAATCAGTTCCTCAGAAGAATCTAGAAATGCAAAAGAGACTCTGGCTGCACCATCCAAACCCACTCAACCCTGCTCCCACTGTGGGTCCATCCTGTCCTCTGCTGTCCTCTGCTTTCCTCAGCTTAAAGGGGTTGAGAAGGGATAACAGACAGCATCCTATCCACAAGGCAAATCACTCAGTCACCCCTGTCAGTTCAGCCAAGTATACTGGAGTGAGGGGAGAGGCAAGAATGAAAGAAGGGACCTCAGAGCACACTATGCTTTCTACCAGAATTCAGTGGGATTCTCATTCAAATCCCTTTCTTCACTTTCCTTTGAGTAGCTGACTTCCTGCCAGTGGCACTATTAAAAATTTGTCAAGACAATGCACATAAGGAAATAAAAACCAATTCATTAGAGATTGAGGAAGAATGAAGGAAGTAAATTTGCTTTTTACAGTAAAACATAGCTTATCCCTATCAGCCTAGGTTAGTACGCAGAAAGTGTGGCTATTAAGAATTTGACTTTTCACTGGGATTCTGCCAAAGACATTACATAAAATTTTACTTTCTCAGTAGAAGTCAAGTAATTAAACAAAATAAATATTAAATCTAGTTGGTTGAGATCACGACAGCTTCCAACACACCTCTCACTTTCAGTTAGGAACAAATTCCAAATGTATCATAAAAATTAAACGTTATCCCAACTACATATTTTTAACATACATTTAAAGAATATATTGAAACCACATTTCACTGTGAACATTGCCATTGGCTTCATTTAAGTCTTTGTTAATTATTGAAATGGTTAAAATGGCTTTATTTAAATCTTCACTTGATCTTGGATGGTTAAATTACAAATGAATAAAATACAACATTCCACATCAATAAGCCAGTTTACAAGGTTTCAATGAAAAGCTTCTTTCAATGATTATTTTACTGCTCTTCTTTGATTTCTGGAAAGTAACTTATAGCCTGATTATTTTTAGAAATCTTGCTTTCCTCTAAAACTGAACCTGACTGTGCCATCTAAAAAGGAGAAGCCAATATTCACTATCAAACAACATTTTTTTAGCTCACCTTTTTATTGAGATACCAAGAACCTATTTCATAATATAATAATTACTCTAGTGCTTATTAGAGTAATTATTGTATTATGACCAAAACTTCCAGGCCTCTAATATTAACAGTCACATAGCAAGTTTGAAGGCTAGCCACTTAAATGGTGCTAAGAGTATAAATATGAAGAAAAGCTTCCCTAATACTCCATAAGGAAACCATCATATCAAAACATGGAAAGGTGTGCTGCTCTCTCAAAAAGTCACAGACTTGATTCTCTTCATGTGTTCTTTGAAAAGTAAGGGTCTCTAGCTAGAAGCTGGAGAATAAAATTTAATAAGAAAGAAACTCAGCACAATGGCTTCAGAATAACCACAAACTTTCATTCTCCACACATTTATTTAAGGCCCATCTAAAGCATGCCAGGCAGGTTAAAAATAATGCATTTATGTAAGCACCCCTGCACACATACTCTTGCAAGGTTAAACAGGGAACTCTGAAAGAGTGATTTATTGCCACAAGAACAAGGCCCCAAAATAGATTAGCAATAAAAGTGATTGGTCCCAGTGGGGTTGAGAACTAATGTAAGCAACGTCCTGGCCATGCGAAGCATCCGGGAAAGAGCACCAGAATCAAGGGCCAGAATCCAGGGTGAGCTTCCTGGCCCTAACCCCTCCTCTACCAAATTCCACTCACACAACCTCCTTAAGAATGTGATTCCTCAACTGTAAACTACGAGGGGAGGAGGGGCAGGGGGGACGACTAGCTCATTTCTATAACATCATTTTGTTTGTTTGCTTTTTTTAATTTTACTTTTTGCTTTTGCTTTGAAATCTGCTTTATCTTATTCAGTGCTGAGCTCTGTACAAAGGAGAAATAAATATGAAGTTCAAATCCACTAACACTTGCAGAAAATCTTTGGCTGCCCTTTCCCACACAATCACTCATCTTTCAACTTCCAACCCACTTTAACACTAACTGGCCTGCCCGCTATGTTCCAGTTCTATAAATGAGTGGTCTGGATTGTCAAAATGAATACCAAGTTTCTAGACCAGAGAATAAAATGACAGCATAAGGGCTCAGACCTTGAGTGAGGTGGATGCAGGTGACTGAGAGCAGAAGGGAAGGTCAACCACTGCTTTGAAACCCAAAGAAAAATGGAGAACAATCCTAATTAGAATAAGTTATACTCTATATAATGTATATGTCAAAATACACTCTGTCAGGTATATCTAAAAAGAACAAATAAATTTGAAAAATAAAATAAATAAGGAGAAAAATGTATAAGTGCTGGGGCTCAAAGGGAACCACAAAGTTCAGAGAAAGGGAAAAAAACAAAAAAGAAAAAAAAAAACCCAGTCATCCCCCTGAAAGACACTTTAGAGCAGGCATCATCTCCCCAGCACCCAATTCCAAATTTTGGCAAGTGGCAGCAACTCTGCTTGAACACTTCTTCTAATGGAGAAATCACACAGCAGCTCTATTTTTGAACTGCTCTAGTTATTTAAAAGTTCTATTACACTAAAGTCTCTCTCCTTCTGTCAACCAAACATGGGTACTAGTTTTCAATCTGTGGCATTAAATATAAATTTAATGCAGGAGGAGCAAAAACAAGGAAAGAAAAGACAGCAGAGCAAACAGAGTTTTCTGGCTGAGAAAGGAAAGACAACTGACAGAAAAGCCCTCAACTACAGCACTTTGTCAATCTCAAGAACTGGGCTCAAAAACACTCTGGAAAAGAGGTTCACACCCTCATCTTTCCTCTCCATCAATAAAAACCTATTTTCTGTTTCTGTATCTTAGGAAAGAAAGCTAGATTGTACAGATAGACCTGGCTGCTTCCTATCTTCAGCAACCACATTCAATCAAAAACTACCCAGGAGGCCCCTGTCTCCCAGATGAGGTCTCCACCCAGGGCCCTCCTGCTTGTTCTGTCCTGACAGTTCAAACTCCATGCCTACATATTCAACCTATCAGCCCTTCTCTACCCTCTGCTAGACATCCCAAGCCTAGACCTTATAGCCAAGATCTAGAGCAGGGATTCAAAGCTGCCCAAAACAGAGAAAAGCTTTTTTGTTGTTGTTGTTGTTTGTTTTGTTTTGGAGGGGGCAGGAACTCAGCAGTACTTGACCACTAAGCCACATCCCCAGACCTATTTTGTATTTTATTTAGAGACAGAGGCTCATAAGCTGCTTAGTGTTTCAACATTGTTGAAGCTGGCTTTGAACTTGAGATCCTCCTGCCTCAGCCTCCCAAGCCACTGGGATTACAGGCATGTGCCACCGCACCACCGTGCTCAGCAGGGAAAAGCTCTTTTTTAAAGATTCCAGATTACCTCTGGAATGGGACACTGGTACCAATGCCTGCTAAAAATCTGTCCTGGCTCCTGACAGTAAGTCAAACTACTGAAAGGGAAGTTTGTCAAGTCATTTTAAGTCATTCTGGAGGGTGAAAGAAAGAAGCAAGCCAATGAACAACATTATATGGTTCTGCTCCAAATTCAACTGGAACAGGAAGGAGCCTAGGCAGTCGGGGCAACACAACCAAGAGTAAAGGATATCGTGGAAAGAGCTACACTGAAAGGGTACAAGCTTTTGGGAAGTCCAATTCAACTCACTGTCTTCTGGGGCTCTTCAAGCAAAAGAAGAGATTCCTAAGGTATGCATAATAAAGACATACGACAGTTTGGTCTCACAAGCACCAAAAATTCCATCTCCAGGGCAAAGAGACTTTCTAACAGAAAGGAGCTGAATTCTGCAGAATCTATTATTTTGTGACAGGTGGTATAGAAAGAAGACAGGCTAGACTTTAGCTTCAGGGCATGAAGGGAACACGTCATAGCTCTGCTATTAAGAGGTAAGACAGGGCTGCTCTACCAAGCTAGTCACACACGAAAGGGGGGATGGGGACAAAAGGAAAAGGGGATGGGAAAAGAGTTCCACTTGAAGGAGCTAATGTTTTCATAAACCTTTGCTTTCTGCAGGGACCTCACAGGAGTGGGAGCACTGGAGAGTATATTAACCCCAAGCCGACACTACAGTAGGAGTGTGTCATTGCCAGTCACGACCAATCCGTTAAAATGAATCAAAAATAATCCCGCCTGGCAAAGAACAAGAAAAGGAGAGGAAGACAGTACTAAATCACGTATCTACCGGCACTACTAACTTCTGCCTCTGACCAAGGCCTCCGGCTGCAATTGCTCCTAGTGACCGGAATTGTCCAACTGATCTCACCGAATCTTGGGAAGCTGGTTTTGAAAGAGGCCACCTAGAAACTGAGCCACCGGTCTCGCGCGCCTGCCCCAGCGCAGACTGCTCCTCAGGCGGGTCCGCTACCCACCGGTCCTGCACCCGGTCGCCACCAGCACCCGGCACCAGCCCTCTGCCCGCCCGTCCCTCCGGGGCCCCGACCTGGTCCGCCCTCCTGGGCTCTCCAGCGCAGAGCCTGCATCCTCCCGCGCCTGGCCCGATGGGGATGGCGCTCCGGGCTGCGGGCCACTAGGCGGCCGCCGCCGACGCCTCCACGCGCGAGGACTGGGCGCAGGGAAGCCGGACGCTGGGACGCTGGCCGGTTATCTGGTCCCGGGTGGGAGGAGGGACCGCCACCGGGGTCCCGCGGACGCCCCGTCACGCCCCCTACGCCGCACACCCGGGCCCCTCCCGCTGGCGGGTCGCAATGCTCGCTTTCGCCGCGGCCACCCCCTCTTCGCCGGGGCGGACACTGAGCCACCTGGCACAGCCTCCACCGCCACACTACCCACGCAGTACCCCGCGAGCTCCGGCCCTACGCCGCCCTCCAGGGCCACCACGTTCCCTCCTGGGCCGTCCTCAGAGACAATGGCTCACCCCGTCGCCCTTCTGCTCGACCACAGGGTACTCCGCTTTCCCTGGGCAGCGGATGTCATAGCTGCCCGTTTCACAGAAGTGTAGACCGAGGCCGAGGAGCTCAAAAGCGAGACACCATGCGGAGAAACCCGGCTGCTAATAGGGTCGAGGAGGGTCCAGGTAAAAATGGGCCAGGGCGGCAGCGAGAAGAGCTCGCTTTCCCCGGCACCGGAGTGGCCCCAGTCCGGTCCACTCCGCCAGAGGGACAGGGGCCTCCGCCCACGCCGTCCCTGCCGCCGCCTCTTAGGCCCTCTCGCGAAAAAGACAAAGAACCTGCGCCCCAACCCTCGGATCCCTGGCCGCTGGGGACCAGAGGCCGGGGGATTTTTACCCTGAAACCAGGGGCGGGAGCAGGAAAGGCGAGTCAGCGGCGCCCGGGCCGAGCCGCCGCGCGCGGGGCGGCGAGGCGCGGGCAGCGTGACACCGCCGTGGGTCGGGGATCCCGGGACGAGGGTGCAGCGGCCCGGGCGGGAGCGCGAGGGGCCGGACCCGCGAGAGGGCGAGTGAGCACCCGGAGCGCCGGGGTCGGCCGAGCGCGCGGGGCAGCGCCGCCGCCGGGGCCGTCCGGCCACAGCTGCACTCACCGGATCGGAAGAAGGCCGCGATGTCGGCCAGGTCCTTGGCTGCCTCTTCGGCCCCCTCGCCAGCGCCGCCCCCGCACCCTGAGCCCGCTGCGCTGGCCGCCGCGGCAGGGCCGGAGGACGCGGCGGGGGCGGCAGCGCCGCCGCTGCTGCCGCTCATGGCTGCGGCGGCGCCCGCGGCCGCGCCCGCCTCGGGCCCCGCGCCCCTAGCGCCGCGCGCCGCCCGCTCCGCGCCGGGCCTGACGGCGCCGAGCACCCAGCTGCCCGCGCCCGGCGCGCGGACGCAGAGCCCTGGGGCGGCGGGCGGCGGCGGCTTGGCCCGAGGAGCGCGCCCACATAGACGAGGACTCCACCCGGGAGCCGAGAGGCGACCGCTGGGCGGAGGCGGGGAGCCACGGCCTCGGCGGCGCCGGCCGGAACGCGGGCAGCTACGCGCGCCGCGCCGGACACGCAGTCGCGAGGGCGGAGGCCCGTGGCCCGCGGGAGCTCCGGGATCACGGGCGCCGGCGGCAGCCGCGAGCCTCCATCTTGGTTTCAAATGGGGAAGGAAGGAGGGGGAGGGGGAAATCACGGCTGAGGGAACCCGGGTGAAAGGAAAGGGGAGAGCAGCGAAAGGAAAGGAAGGAAAAAAAGAGGGGCTTCGGGAATTTCCGGTGAGTCTCGTCAGGGACCCGAGCGTCGGCTCGGCAGGTGGGCGGGGCCTAGCGAGAGGGGCGGGGCCGCGCCGGGCTCCGGGACGCTCAGAGGGCCGGTTGGCGGCTGCGGGAGGGTTCGGTTTGCGAGGTCTCCGCCTGGCAGCTCTATACCTCAGGAAGAGGGTAGAACGCTCTGCCTACCCAGCTGACGTTCCCAGGCCGGGCATTGCGCCCCCTGCCAGGGCTCTCGCTCCGGCGCCGCGAGCACCATCTTCCAGAACTAGAGAGAGCCCTTTCATTCTTAGGTCGTCGGCGGGCCCGGTGACTCCAGCACTGGGCTGGTGTGTCCCTCGCTGGCGCAGCGCGGGCACTGGCACGTAGGTGGAGCTCCAGTAGTTGTTGGATGAGCCAAGAGGTCGTGAAAACAGGTTATCTGCCCCAGTCCCGGAGGCCACAGTGTCCTCAAACTGAGACTCCTAATCTAGGACTCCCCATCTCCGGAGCGTCCTCCGGCTTGACCTCAGACTCCCAGATCCACTGCGCTCAGTCTCCCAAAACGAGCGGGGAAGACAATGGGAGACCAGAGGAAATGCACCTTTTGGGAAGAGCCAGGCATCGTTTGCTGGTTTTGTGGCTACAAGCAGAGTTAAGTGGTTGGTGTCAAAAGTTAAGCAATCAAATGCTGGGGAAACCAACACGGAAACTACAACTTTCAACTATATACTACACATATATACTGGAAATGGACACTTAAATAAATGAATAGTGGATGATGGCCACCAGGTCTCTTACCTGTTACCAGCAGAAGGAGGCTAGAGTGGTCCATGTGCTCTTGGGTCAGAGCTGAAGTCATCAGTGTGAACTCTTATTTGGCTTAGTAGAGCTACAGAGATATATATAGTAGATATATATATAGAGAGAGAGAGATTAGATAGATATAAATATGTGTTTACACAGGGTAGTAACACAATGCATGTATCTCCTTGCTCTATCAGCTAAGTGGGCCTGCAGAGGACAACCAACACAGCTAGCACCCAGATCTTCTTTTTAGTACCATTCTTCAACAAAAGGAACCAGTCCTCCTTGGGGAAATAGCTGATTCTAATCCTGGGACGGGAAATATTTAACAAGAACCTGGAGCATCCTGCTGTGTCAGAAGGTAAGGAAGTTCTCTCCCACACCCACCTAAAAAGTTGGGTTTTGTTTTGTTTTGTTTTAATTAACAAGAATGTTGGGGGTATGTCAAAGCAACACAACATCCAATTGAAAGAGCTCCCAATGGCCAAAGCCAGAAAATTTGAACAAGAAAATAAATAACACACTATTTGAATATAGCCAAGAGTATAAAATAAATATCTGCTGATATAAATAAATGATTAAGTAAATAAATAGGGGAAAACAGGCAAATCTCCTATGCAGAAGAATTAAAAATAATTTATGTCTGTATTGTGCCCTGAATGAGATGGAATAAAACTCCCTGTTCCTTGACTGTGGGCTGCATACAGGAACTTCCTTCCAAAGAATACAAAATGAGAGCTGGGACTGTGACTGAATGGTAGCACACTTGCCTGGCATGCATGAGGCACTGGGTCTAATTTTCAGCACCACATATAAATAAATTAAATAAATAAAGGTCAACAACTAAAAAGAAATAATAATTTTAAAAAAGAATACAAAATGAAAAGGAGGGGAGAAAAGTACGTTTACAATAGAGAAACATGACCAACACTTTCTTGGATAGATAATTAAGGTGAACATCAGAAGCAATGAGTCTTGTTGATAGCATGGATTCTTGATATGATGTGATGAAAATGGCATTTTATCTCTGTGTCCTTCTTCCCAAAAGCCCATAACACCTAATAGTGAGAAAAACATCAAAGGAATCCCAATTGAAGGACAGCCTACAAATTACTTGACCAACACAATCCCAGCCTATCAAGGTCATCAAAAATAAGCAAAGTCAGGGCTGGGGATGTGGCTCAAGTGGTAGCGCGCTTGCCTGGCATGTGCAGGGCGCTGGGTTCAATCCTCAACACCACATAAAAATAAAATAAAGATACTGTATCCACCTAAAACTAAAAAATAAATATTAAAAAAAATTAAATACTTGAGAAATGCCCAGGTAAGTGTAGAAAGCAAATCTAAAAAAAAAAAAAACAACAAACAAACAAAGTCAGAGAAACTGTCACAATCATGAGTATCCTAACAAAATATAAGAACTAAATACTTTGTAGTATTCTTGATGAGATCCTGGAACCAAAAACCACGTTATATAAAAGCTTGAGAAAATCAGAAAATTGGAATACCATATGGACTTTGGTAAATAACAATGAACCAATATTGCTTCTTTAATTGTGAGAAATGTACCCTCCTAATAAAAGATGATAATAATAGGGAAAGCCAAGTATAGGGCATATGGGAACTCTCTTCACAACTTTTTTAGTAAACATCAATCTATTTAAGAGAAAATTTTGTTTTTAAAGTTTTATTGTTTCATTTTTTAATTTTTGTTTATGTATTTTTGGGGGTTTGAACCTAGGGGCGCTAGCCACTGAGCAACAGCCCCACCCCTTTTTGTTTTTTATTTTAAAGCAGGGTTTCATGAAGTTGTTAGGGCTAAGTAGCTAAGCTTGTGATCCTCCTGCCTCAGCCTCCCAAGCATTAGAAGTTTGAATTTTTTTTTTTTTTCTGGATGGTCAATATTTAAAAAAAAAAAAAAAAGCAATAGACCCAAATTTCACCAACTGTCAACTCAGGTTTGTTGACAATGTTTCTTTTTCTTATTTTTTTTTCCCCTATTGGTTAATTTCTGTCTCCAGCTAGCATTCCCCTTGAGAGGAAGAACGGCTTAATCCTAGTTCAGGGAAAACCCAAACTTTTGTGCTTTTCTTTGTTTTTTGAGTGCTTTCCCCCTGCTGCTTACCCCCACCCACCCCAAGGCTTATAGCTGAGCTTTCAGCTTTAAGTTTTCAAAGTGGGAACAGAAAGGTTGTACCTGGTTGTTGGTCATCCTAAATTCATGCTGGCATGCCTTCCCCTCCAACTCCACAGCCTTCCTGAATTGCGGACATTGCTAAGGCCATGCCTCAGCGGTTGCTCCTCATCCAACCGTGGGAACTCTGAGGTCTGCTGGCAGTCAGTGCCCCTCCTGAGCTACTCCCAGCCACCCTGGAAAATACTCAGCTGCTCACAGGCATGCTCAGACCCCAGCATGCCCAGACCTAGAAACAAAGAACAAGATCTCTGCTCTCAGATCCCTCAAGCCTAGCTGGGGACAGCCTTTCTCAGAGTCATGTTGGGGTTTAATGCTCTCCATCTCTACCACCAACCCAAATTTGAAAAATGAAAAAAAATATAGATAGTTAGAGATATGTGAATGGCAGGAGGGGAACCTCACTCCAGCTTCACAATGCTTTCTTCCATTTCTACTGTTTTCAGCATAACCTTTGTGCTCTTTAAGAGAAAACTTTTAATGTTCAACAATCTTTTGCTGAGTGCAGTGGCACATGCCTATAATTTCAGCTACTCAAGAGGCTGAGGCAGGAGGATTGCAAATTCAGAGCCAGCTTGGGCAGCTTAATCAACTTTTCCTCAAAATAAAATATAAGAAAGAGCTGGGATATATCTCATTAGTATAGCATTTGCCTAGCATGCACAAGGCCCTGGGTTCCATCCCCAATAATACAGTCTTTTCCCTCCACTTATTCTCTCTGCCATAGGCTACAAAAATATCTCTTAAAACTTAGAAGCCATGTGCCAACCTATTTCTCTTTGCATCCCTTCCATAATAACCCCGTTTTTTGGATTGTGAATACAGAACCCCCTCACTGCCACCAAAATAAAATGGTTGAGAAAGGTCAAGAATTTGAAAAAATAAAAATTGCTTGGAGGAGAGGGACAGATTGGATAGCAAGCTACCATAGAAAGATTGGCAATACCCTGCTGGTGGTACCTGGGAAGTGGCAAGTAAAAAAGCCTAGCCCATGTTGGAGGAGGGTGAGTGTGAGGGTAAGGGGTGTTGAAAGTGAGCCTGAAGGAGAAAGTGACTGACTGTGTGTAATAACCACTGAGGGTGTTGGGGATCAGGGTGGGTAGGGATAGTTGGTGTATATTTGGGCAAAAACAGGGCTTTAGTCTTAGGACTAGATTCTGGCCAATTCTTCTATCTCAGGTAGTCAGCCCCAAAAAGACTTGTGTGCAAGTGTGGGACACACATGTAGACTCACCCAGATTGCAATAAGAGAAAAAGGCTGCACACAGGGTTTTTTTCCTTCTTCCATCTAAGCATGTGCAAGAGATCTAAACAGGGTTTCATGACAGCTGCTGTTGATCCTACCCAACCTTCAAAATTCAGCTCAAATTTCATCCCCTTTCATGAAGCTCCTACATAACTCAAATTGATCTTTCCTATCTCTGGATTCTGCAGCAGCATTTTAGCATTTAATCATATACTGTATTATATTATTCACATCTTTCATGTTTAATGTCTTGGCTACAAGATGCAGAGATCCTTTGCCATCATTACACAGGTACTCATGTGCCTAGAGCCCAAAGGCATGAACTGAAATGTGGAACGACAGCTAACTCAGACACTTCAGCGTGTACATCAGTATACTTTCTTTCCTTCTTATCAAACCTATGCCCAACTTAAAAAAAAAAAAAAAAAACTCCATTTTTTTACCTTAAAAAGTGACTAACCCCCAATACTTTAAAATGCAACTTTATTTGAAAACAGAGTCATTGCAAGATGTAATTATTTAAGACTACAGTCATACTGCAGTAATTCAATGTGACTAGAGTCCTTGTAAGAAGATGGCCGTGTGAAGAGAGAGACATGCAGGAAGAATGTAATGTGAAGATGGAGGATTGGGACAATATATCTACAAGCCAAAGGATACCAAAATTGCTAGAAGACCACCAGAAGCAAGGGAGAAGTAAAGAAGGATTCGCCTACAGTTTTCAGAGGAAGCATGGCTCTACCTACACTTGATTTCAGACTTCTAGCCTCCAGAACACTGAAGCAATAAATTTCTATTACTTTAAGCTGCCCAGTTTATTATACTTACAGTTATAGCAACCTTGCTATAACTAATCCATGAGCTAACATATTTAACTAGTCCTCCAATTTTTCTAATGAAACTCATTCTAAGGAAAGATTACATGTTGACCTTATGAATATTGTTTGGGTGAGTTAGGTAAAGAAAAACATTCCAGAGGAATGTGGAGAATTATAACATGAGTGGTTGTAAGAATAAATAGATGTGAGAACATCCTCTGAAAATGTCCAGGAGATTCTGGCCAGAATTTAAAACTTGTTTTAGTCTGTTTTCTGTTACTATAACAAAATACCTGAGTCTAAATATAAAGAAAAGAAGTTTATTTAGCTCACAGTGTTGGAAGCAAAAATTCCACCTTGTTGTGTCATATCATGGTGGATGAAATCTTGGCAGGAACACCTTTGAGGAGAGATCCCATGGTGAGATAGTAGCCAGGGAGGGAACAGTGTTACTCTTTTATGACAACCTCTTTTGGAGAGTTAACCATGATCCCATGAGAACTTCCAAATGCAGTGCCTCCAAATGACCTAACCACCTTTCACTAGTTCCCCCTTCTTAAAGGCTACACACTACTTCTCAACATTGTCACACTGCAGATCAAGCTTCCAACACAAGAACTTTTGGGGGACATGCTTAAATCATATCCAACCATAGTGGAATCCTAGCTCTAAATTTGAGCTCAAGAACACAAAGATTCCTGAATTTTCTAGACTTGTCAATTTATCAAAGAGATGAGTATAAAAAGTGAGTAGACATGGGCCCCGGAGCTCAGTTTTTATGCCATACATTGTGTAATCCTGGGGGGAGGTATGACTCAAGAGTGCCCTGGAACTCCCCAGCTGATTCTGAGCCAAATTAAGGGACACATGGATGAAGAGGAGCCCACCCTCAAAGACCAGAGCATTTTATTCCACAAGGTAATGCTAAGTCTACTGACAAATGAGTCCAAATTAACCTGGATTCTTGGATTTTATTGATTTGGGGTGACCACTAAACTAGAAAGATCCAAGTCAGAGCCCTACATTCTAAATGCCTATTCACAGACACAGGGCCCCAAGAACTACTGCCTGGGCTTCAGGGATGATTGATTGGCAAAGAGTCCTTGGAGGCCCCTTACATCAGTGTTTTTTCCAGGCATTGAAATATCTCTGAATATCCATATTAAGCAGAGAAGACTGGTGGGAAATGGAAGAGACAGTAGGTGGGATGACCTTGGAAAGAAACAGGAGGTGGCTGGTCAACGTGGTGCATGCATGTAATCCCAGGGGCTTGAGAGGCTGATCCAGGAGGGTCATGAGTTCAAAGCCAGCCGCGGCAACCCCAAGCAACTCAGCAAGCCCCTGTCTCTAAATAAAGTATAAAATATAAAAAAGGATGTGGCTCAGTGGTTAAGCGCCTCTGGGTTCAATTTCCTGGTACAAACAAAACAATAACAACAAAAATGGGGTAGAATTTGGAAGCATCTGAGGTATATGGGAGGAAAGTTGTGTGTGTGTGTGTGTGTGTGTACAAATTCTGCCATACTTTTGCCTGTCTGCATTTGAGGTTGGAGTTGATGAAGATCCTGATGTAGTATCAGGAAAATTCAGCAATATGGGAGGGGGATAATACAGATAAATTTGACTTAGAAATGAGCTCAAATTTGGAAGTTGCAAAATTTTATTATTTCTAGTATATAAATTAGACAAGAGTGGGAGAAATGACAGTATCTGTATTTACTACCTTAGCTTCAAATTGATCAATGTTCCAGACTCATTTTTTTTTTTTTTAAGAACTGGTGACTTTCTGGTCCCTCCCCCAAATTTAAAGAATTCCAAATTGACCCCCTCTCTGGCTCAAAATATGCAAGATCTAAAATTTACCTGGTGAGGGCTGGGAATATAGCTCAGTTGGCAAAGTGCTTGCCTTGCATGCACAAGGCCCTGGGTTCAATCCCCAGCACCACAAAACAAAACAAAACAAAACAAAACAAATGGCTTCCTCCTGGGCTGGGGATGTGGCTCAAGCACGCATGCTTCGGCCCAGGTTCGATCCTCAGCACCACAAACAAAGATGATGTGTCCGCCGAGAACTAAAAAATAAATATTAAAAATAAATAAATAAATTAAATAAATAAAATTTACCTGGTGAGATTCCTTCCTTTGGATCCTGGAAATTTTGTGGTCCTCACTTTAAAGGATAAAGACTCCTGGGAGTGCTAACACCTTAAAGCTTTATCACTGATTACCTTATAGAGAAGATTAGGGGATTAGCCAAGCATTAGTAATGCAGGATAAAAGAAGGAAAAGAGCAATGGAAGGGGAAGGCACACTCATTAAAAGCCTCTACCATGCTCTCTCAAGGAGCTGGTCTTGCTGTTTGTTTCCAGTGCAGAATTTGAGAAAAGTCTACCCTGGTTCATTTGCAGGAGTGATAAGGATTTTTGTATTTTACTCACTGAATCTTCAGGTCTTTGATAACAAACAAGAAACCATGAAAAAACTCCATGTCCAGTTTTGAGCTACTCTAGAAGTCTTAATTTATTCATGTAGTAAACATATATTGAGCCCCTACTATGTGGCAGACACTCTTTAAGGACTATGATCACAAGAGTGAACAAAATAGAACAGTAATCTTACTTCACACAGCTTACTTTCTAGAGAGGGTGAGGTGTGTCAGCCAATACAAGCAAAATGCATCCTGGCCAAATGAAAATAGGTTCAACATAATAGAATAAGACAGAAAAGGGGAAGAGAAGTCTGGGGAATAGGACTATGAGCAACGTGACACTGGAGCAAGATTAGAAAGAGGAGGCTAGCAGGGAGGAGACTGGAGGGAGTGAACAGTGTCTGCAAGGTCCCAAGGCAAGAGCAGGAAGGGCCAGTAGTTGGGTGTTGGGGAATATAGGAGATGTGTTTGGTGAGGTACAGGAACCCCAGTACTTTAAACCACCTAGATGCTTTCTAAGGACTCTGCCTTTTATTTAGAATGAGAGGGGGGATGTGGATCATTTGTGTGGAAAGATTCTAAGTGTTTTTAGGTTGAAAGTAGATTATGCAGACTCCTCAGAATGTTAGGAAATGAAGCCAAAGCTTGTTAAAAGCTTTGCAAATGATTGCAGTGGGGTTTTAACTAGAAACTAACTGCTGTCATCTCCCAGAGTGAAGAATCCATCAGATGCCCGTGGACTTAGGACCACTGCAGTCACTAATGGGACCTCATGGCAGAGACAGCTGGAAGAGCAAAGCCACGCACCTGGAGGTAATAGGAAAGGAGACCCATGAGAATGGGGCCCAACATTGTGGACCATCTCCAGAGTTGACCCCATGTGTCCAACCATAGCCCATAGGACTCCTTCCCTCCCAAGCCAAAGAGCTTGCCTACAGGCCTCTCTCCTCCTTCTACCAACCTGCCAGGTCTCAGGGACCTAAAGAGGCGAGAGAATATAGGCACGACAGGAGAATCATTTCTTAGAAAGCACCTGGGACCTTTGTTTACTTTTTGCTTATCAGGGCAAAATCATGAACTACACAAAGCAATAAGGAAACATCATCAGAGGGTTGATTTCTCTTCAAAACCATTGTTGTTGGCTATCTTCTTCTGGAGACATCAGATAGATGTTCTCATGGAGGAAAAGAAGCCTAGTAAAAATTGCTTTTCAGTCCCTGATCCTGGGCAAGTGAAATTGAGAAAACAATCTTGCCTGCCTTTGAGGAAGGCACTTGTAAGAGTTGTTAGTTATTTCATGGAACCCCCATCTGCCCCTCCTCCATCTCTACCTCCCTTCCTGGAGAGTAAGAACATCAAAAGGCAAGCCAGACTGAACCATTCTTATTTGAATTAGAAACATGGAGTAAGGAGCAAGGAATGGGCACCTGGGCAGCAGGTGGATGGGCCAGAGCAGAAAGGAGCAAGTGGTGACCTGCTCACTGTCATTGTCTGCACTGTGCACTGGTTGCTTTTACAACCAACTCCCTTTTCCTGAGATCACCTCGGTGGTCTCTAGCTCAAAGCACCTCAGAAAATCATAGGGTTAGTTCTAAGCAACAGACTCTTTCTGAGCAGATAACCATGGCTTAGGAGCAGAGTTGGGGAGGACAGAGAGCCCCTCTCCACATTCTGGGACAGAATATCTCACAGTAAGATAGCTAAGGAGCTATAATCTGTTTTCTCAAAGGAAGTCCCCGTGGGCCCACTGCAGGTAGGGAGACCACAGACTGATAGCATTTTAAAGGATACAGTGAGGCTGAAGAAGACCAAGCATTTCAATGACCCTTAGCCCTAACCTCTTGTTGATTTGCCAGATTTAACCCTCCCCATTCTCTACAGCTAGAGTTGGAGTCTGGAAAATGCAACGGAGATATCTGGATATGTGTGCAGGGATTAGTACCTACCCCTGCACTAGGTATCATGACCTCTCCATACCCTTCTCTTGAAGATCTCACTGGCTGCCCCTCTTTCTCTGGAGAAGCAAGGTAACCCCAACCATCCTGAGGCAATGTGGTGCTATGTTGAGAATGCCTCTTTAGTCAGCATGGGGCAACAGAAAAATCAGGTCAGGGAGGAGATGTGACCTAGGGCTCTGTCCTTGGACTCTGCTCCCTGCTGGACTCTGAGGAGCATTCCTAAGGGGCCATGCTAAAGAGCACAGTGCTCATAGGGGTCATGGAGCAAGCGATGGCGCATCCAGATGATGACTATCTCACTGTCCTAGCTGGAACCCAAGGACATGTACAGAGGCTTGGTCCTTCCTTTGTAATTCCAAAATCCAAAAGTTCTGGAAAACAAGTGTTTTTTGCAGCTCACTGGGGGTAAAAAATGACTTGACATCACATAAGATCATATATTTTAATCCCATCTAGGTCCAATCATTGTATTTTTGCAGCAGAAATATTGAAGAGTGTGATTGTGGGATGCTACTGAGAATATTAAACATTTTAGAGGATACAAATTATGCTACCTTTCCATATCTGAGAAAACTTGTAATTTAAATGAACTTCAGAAAGTTCAGAATTCTGAACTCCATCTGACTCCTCAGGTTTTTTGTTGTTGTTCTTGTTGTTTTGGGTTTTTTGTTTTTGTTTTTTTTTTTTGTTTTCCTTTAGGTGTTGAGGATTGAACCAAGGCATGCTCTACCACTGAGTCACATCCCAGTCATTTTTATTTTTAATTTTGAGACAGGATATCACTAAGTTGCATGGGGCCTTGCTAAGTTGCTGAGGCTGGCCTTGAACTTGTGATTCTCCTGCCCCAGCTTCCTGAGTCACTGGGATTACAGATGTATACTACCATACCCAACTGTCTGCTAAAGTTTTGGATAGGGAATTGTGAACATAAAGACTGGATACAAAAAAACCAATAAGCTCATGAAAAGATGTGCGATCACATTAACCACCAGGAAAATGCAAACAAGATGACAATGAGAAACTGCTTTATACTAACTATAATGGCTACAATAAAAAGACAGACAATGACAAGGATATAGAGAAACAGGAACCCTCATTCATTTCTGGTGGGAATGCAAAACAGTGCAGCTTTAAAGAACAGTTTGGAAGTTACCGTATGAACTAGCTACTTTACTCCTAGGTATACATCCAAGGAAAACAAAAATATGTCCCCACAAAAATGTACAAACAAATGTTCTTAGCAGTGTTGTTCACAACAGCCAAAAAGTAGAAACAACCCAAATGTTCATCAACGGATGAATGGATAAAGAAAATGCTTTCTATCTATACAATGGAATATTACTCAATCATGAAAAGCAACAGAGCACTGATATGTTCTATAACATGAATACGCCACGAAAACATTAAGCTAAGTGAAAAAAAGCCAGACACAAAGGACAAATACTGAGTGATTCCATTTATATGAAATGTCCAGAATAGGTAAATTCATGGAGACAGAAAGTAGATTAGTGATTGCCAAGGGCTGAAAAGGAAGGAAAGGAAAATAACTCTAAATGTGTATACGGCTTCTTTGTGAGAAGATGGGAATGTTCTAAAATTAGATTGTGGACGGCATTTCTTGTAGAAATGGATAAAGCAATCATGAAATTCATATGGAAAAATAAAAGACCCAGAATAGCAAAAGCAATTCTAAGCAGGAAGTGCGAATCAGGCGGTATAGTGATACCAGACTTAAAACTATATTACAGAGCAATAGTAACAAAAACAGCATGGTACTGGTACCAAAACAGGAGGGTGGACCAATGGTACAGAATAGAGGACACAGAGACTAATCCACAAAGCTACAAATATCTTATATTTGATAAAGGAGCTAAAAGCATGCAATGGAGGGAGGATAGCATCTTCAACAAATGGTGCTGGGAAAACTGGAAATCCATATGCAACAAAATGAAACTGAATCCCCTCCTCTCGCCATGCACAAAAGTTAACTCAAAGTGGATCAAGGAGCTAGATATCAAATCAGAGACTCTGCGTCTGATAGAAGAAAAAGTTGGCTCCGATCTACATATTGTAGGGTCGGGCTCCAAATTCCTTAATAGGACACCCATAGCACAAAAGTTGATAACAAAAATCAACAAATGGGACTTACTTAAACTGAAAAGTTTTCTCTCAGCAAGAGAAACAATAAAAGAGGTAAATAGGGAGCCTACATCATGGGAACAAATTTTTACTCCTCACACTTCAGATAGAGCCCTAATATCCAGAGTATACAAAGAACTCAAAAAATTAAACAATAAGAAAACAAATAACCCAATCAACAAATGGGCCAAGGACCTGAACAGACACTTCTCAGAGGAGGACATACAATCAATCAACAAGTACATGAAAAAATGCTCACCATCTCTAGCTGTCAGAGAAATGCAAATCAAAACCACCCTAAGATACCATCTCACTCCAGTAAGATTGGCAGCCATTATGAAGTCAAACAACAACAAGTGCTGGAGAGGATGTGGGGGAAAGGGTACTCTTGTACATTGCTGGTGGGACTGCAAACTGGTGCGGCCAATCTGGAAAGCAGTATGGAGATTCCTGGGAAAGCTGGGAATGGAACCACCATTTGACCCAGCTATTGCCCTTCTTGGACTTTTCCCTGAAGACCTTAAAAGAGCGTACTACAGGGATACTGCTACATCGATGTTCATAGCAGCACAATTCACAATTGCTAGACTGTGGAACCAACCCAGATGCCCTTCAATAGATGAATGGATAAAAAAAAATGTGGCATTTATACACCATGGAGTATTACGCAGCACTAAAAAATGACAAAATCATAGAATTTGCAGGGAAATGGATGGCACTAGAGCAAATTATGCTTAGTGAAGCTAGCCAATCCCTAAAAAACAAATACCAAATGTCTTCTTTGATATAATGAGAGCAACTAAGAACAGAGCAGGGAGGAAGAGCAGGAAGAAAAGATTAATATTAAACAGATACATGAGGTGGGATGGAAAGGAAGAGAAAAGGGAAATTGCATGGTAATGAAGGGAGACCCTCATTGTTATACAAAATTACATATAAGAGGTTGTGAGGGGAATGGGAAAATAAACAAGGAGAGATATGAATTACAGTGGATGGGGTAGAGAGAGAAGATGGGAGGGGAGGGAGGGGGGATGGTAGAGGATAGGAAAGGTAGCAGAATACAACAGTTACTAATAGGGCATTATGTAAAAATGTGGATGTGTAACCCATGTGATTCTGCAATCTGTATTTGGGGTAAAATTGGGAGTTCATAACCAACTTGAATCTAATGCATGAAATATGATATGTCAAGAGCTTTATAATGTTTTGAACAACCAATAAAAAAAAAAAAAAGATTAAAAAAAAATTATTTTAGGGCCGGGGATGTGGCTCAAGCGGTAGCGCGCTTGCCTGGCATGCGTGCGGCCCGGGGTTCGATCCTCAGCACCACATACAAACAAAGATGTTGTGTCTGCCAATAACTAAAAATAAATATCAAAAAAAAATTCTCTCTCTTAAAAATAAATAAATAAAATAAAAATTGTTTTTAAAAAAAAATAAAAAATAAAATTAGATTGTGGTGAGGGTTGTACGACCTTGAGATTATCCTAAAATCATTAAATGGTACACTTCATATGGGTGAGTTGTATGTTATGTGGTTATATCTCAATAGAGCTGTTTAAGCATAAATAAAAATCCAATCTAGCTGAGAATGGCTGTAGCTAATTCAATACAAGGCAATAGAATGTCAGGGTATCTCAGGAAATTCTCAGACCCTAATGTAAATGCTAAAACGGCCAAACTGGGGGCTGCAGTTTTGGCTCAGCAGTAGAGCGCTAGCCTAGCATGTGTGGGGCCCTGGGCTCAGTCCTCAGCACCACATAAAAATAAATAAGTAAAATAAAGGTATTGACAACTACAACTAAAAAATAAATATATTTTTTAAAAAGGTCAGACTGTTCAGAAGCAGGCTACTGTAGTAAGACAGGCCCTCATACAAGATTCCTCCCGGTAGGCAAAATGTACCACCAACCATGAGCTTCAGGAATCTGACTTGAACCTCACTGTCCTTAACTGCAGGCCTCCTGGGGCCAGTTGGGAATCTCTCATGGCAGGTGCTGTCCTTGAATGATTACAACACATGGTACTTCCCCTCAAGTAGCCAGGGCATAGGGATGCCTTACCTACTTTCCTAAAGGAGAGGCATGTGGCACTTGTTTTACGTAGGGCATGTGGCTGGGGGTGACATTCACTCTTCAGTCAAGTGCCCAAGAAGTTGCAAAAGGACAGGAGACAAAACAAGAGAAGAGTGGGAATTCCTAGTGATTGTGGAGTATGAGGCTAATAAATGGCTCTTAAAATAGTTCTTGACCCAATTTCTGGGTACAGTGGCTTAGTCATGACAACCCGTAGCTAACAAGGAGGAAGGTAGGAGGATGAGTACCAGCCTCTTTCTCCTCCCTGCCTTGCGTCTCTGCTGGTCCCTTCTGATGACTGCATCAAACCAGAGACCAGAAAGCATCCAGACCCATGGATGAGTCCCCATGGGTCAGCCCCCTGAGGACCAGCAGGGTAAAGGAAGGCAGGGATGAATCTGCTGGACCAAAGGAGTTCATATGGTGTAATTATGAAATGCTCCAGAATTTGGAAGTCACAAATCAGCCAACGGACCTTCAAGTACTCTGAGCATTACAGTGCAAGGAACACTAAGTGAGCAGACCCGGTTAGAAAAATAAGACCCAGTCACTTGGCAAGACAATTATGATTTCAAAACAGAGTATATGTTCAAATACATAGAAGACACAATAAAGGCCAAAGGAGTTCATAGAAAGGAGAAACCTCTTTTGCAGTGGAGTGACAAGGGAAGAGTTCCTAGATCAGAATTTTTATTTGCTTCTAGTCAAAGGCCAAGACTCACAGTACAAACAATAAGTGCAATGTGATCTTTAAAATGAACTATGGAGACAAAACTACCCACATGGAATAAAGGGAAACTAGACTTCTGAGCATAGACATCAGTAGATATTTAGGCAGAGCTGCATAAAGAAGGCATCTAATCAATCTGTTGCTGTCATTTGACCGATGCACCTCTAAAACGCCTTCCCTATGCAAGGGAGTGAAGAGCTTTGATTTCCTTGAGGAGCAGCATAACAGAATCAAGAGCAAGACTTTGGTGATCAAGGGCCTAGATTTGAGATATTCTGCTATTTCCATAGATGTGTGAACTGGGAAAGAAACTTCATCTCTTTGTGTCTCAGTTTCCTCACCTGTAAAATAGAGATTAAGAATAGAGCATACCTGATAGTGCTGTTATAAAGATTTAAAACACACAAAAAGCACTTTCAATTGCTGTTCTTTTGAGGTGATCATTTTTTGGTGGGGGGGGCAGAGTACCAGGGATTAAACTCAGGGGTACTCAAGCACTGATCCACATCCCCAGCCCAATTTTGTATTTTATTTAAAGACAGGGTCTCACTGAGTTGCTTAGTGCCTTACTTTTTCTGAGGCTGGCTTTGAACTTGTGATCCTCCAGTCTCAGCCTCCTGTGTTGCTGGGATTACAGGTGTGTGCCACTGCCCCTGGTTTAGGTGCTCATTATCGACTATTACTACTACTACTGGTAGTAGTACTACTACTACTACTGCTACTAGTACTATTCTTGAATTTATCCTAGCAAATTTATCCTAGCAAACTTATCCTAGCAAACTCAAATTTATCCTAGCAAACTTCTGCTGTAGTTCCAAACACAGAGCTGAATCTAAGATCTTATACAGTTGACAGGTACCACTGTTATGTCTTTTCTTGTTCAGTACTGAGCATTGCTGGGAAAGAGATTATTTATAGGAAGTTCAGATTATCTAGTTTTGCGATCAGGTTTAATTCGCTTTTTCTACCTTGTAATATAAAAGTGCAAGCTAAATTTGAGACTAGAGCCTATTTGAATATGATCTGGAAGATCTCAGCTATGTTTCCTAAAGTCTACTTTATAGAACAAATCCCATGGGAAGTTAATAAGTGTTATTGTTCGAAAGTTCCATGCTGAACTAAGTTTGAATAACTCAAGGTTAATACAAAGTTAATAAATTCTTTTAGACAGATGTATGCTTTGCATCTCAAGAGGGAAAGACATACTATGGCATCTTCTGAATTTATTGGACGGTTGGTTTAAACCTTTCTTCTCCTTGAGCTGTTGAGACACAGGGAGGGACTTGGAGAACATTGGACCATAAAACTGGAAAAGAGGTTAAAACAAAAACCTAGTTAATTACCTTTGAAAACCCTGTTATGGGATGGTGTCATGGAGGTGACGTGATTTGATCTAGATCTTGAAGGGCAGATGGGAAGGACAACGTAAAGAGCAGACTAGGCAAAAGAGTGGCGTGATAAAGGCACACATGGGAGGAAGTGGTGACTTCAGGGCCTGTGCCACATAATCCTGGAAAACAACCAGAGGCAGCACTGTGGCAACCCTTGACTGCCAGGTCAAGGACATCAAAAATCCGACAGGTGGGGCTGGTGTTGTGGCTCAGTGGTAGAGCACTTGCCTAGCATGTGTGAGGCACTGGTTTTGATTCTCAGCACCACATATAAATAAATAAAGGTCCATCAACAATTAAAAAGAATTAAAAACAAAACAAAACTCCAACAGGTGACAGGCAGCCGCGGCTCATGATGTGAGCAGCAAAGTAATATAATGAAAATTGCTGAATTGGGGAAAATTAACCTAAGCAATATGTACAATGTGAACCAAAGGAAGGGAACAGAAACGGGACAAAATTAAGCATCTGTTTCCGTGTTCCAGATCAGAGCTTCCAGTGGGTGCACCCAGACTGGGTTATAAGTATGTCAATTTTTGGATGCTTGTGCCCACCTCTGCGGCCTTCTAGGGCCTGGGTGGAGCCGAGCCATTTTCCTCCAGCCCTGTAACCCCATTACACAAAGTGAATGATGTTATTTTTTTGTGTGCCATGACACTAACAAGGTTGTGGAGCACTAATCTA